GATCAAATCTGTGATTGTACCGAGTGACGCCTTGAAACGCAACTCTTCTTGAAATCGTCGCGCGATGAATTGGAGACGATATTTCCACTTCCCAAAATTTTTCCAAAAAAAAAAAAAAAAAAAAAAAAAAACGTTTTTTCGATGGTCAATTACGTACCTTTCTGAGGAGCCAGTAGAACCGCGTTCGAGTAAGTCTCCAACGCTTTGAGAAATTCACCACGGCCGAAGTACCTGTTGCCGATGTCTTTCAATTGCAGAGCTTCCCTGCTGTTCTTCAGCGTCTCGCCGGCCACCTGCACCGGCAAGTCGTACATCAGCGGACAACGCAGCAGGAAACCGATCCTCTCCGCATCGTCGTTCAAAGACAGGAATCTTTTCATATCCTGCGGGCTGACCGTCTTTTGCAGCGCCAGGAAATTCGAGCGGAAGTAATCGCTGACCTCGTCGTCGTTCTTCAACATTCTCCTTCTTCCTGTACTTTGACCAGCTGTGTGTTTTTCTCGTCTGACCGGTTCACTTAATTTTTTCCCTTTTTTTGAAATCTCTCTTTCGTCATAGTGTCGAGCAACACGATATTACTACGACTGGTGAGAAAGAAGTTGGGCCAACTTCCGGATTTTCAAGGAAAATTCTTCCACTTCTAGTGGACACGTTCTGCATCGAATCCGATCTTCATCAGATTTGCACGCAATCTCATCGGCGCGCAATTTAATCCGTGACAAACACGTTGCAACGGTTAACGATACTCGAAGCTACTGGTCGTCGTCCAACCATCCGAAAGTGAAACTCATCTATTCCCGTGCGTGCTATTTCTAGTGCTACAGCGCTTGTCGATGTGCGCGACGCGACGAGGAAATGCAACACGGGCATGCTTAAGGCATGGTAATTAGCGAATTTAATGGTTCTAATCTGTTTTACAAGCAGCAGGATCCTATGTTCGGATTAACTTGTTTGAACCGTAGCCATCGGCTCAGTCGTGTTGTTTTGGATTTGAAGAACAAATAATTTCCACACGTACAGTGCATGCGATATATAAATCATATATTTATACGTGACATGTTGTTTAACTTAAGTACATATGTACAAAACCAAAAAAAAAAAAAAAAAA